TGGAAGCCGTGCATCACGATAAACAATTCGACAATTCAGTATGAGCCCTACGCAAGACTCCTGGGAGTCACACTCGACCCCAGGCTCACGTTCAGCAAACAGGTTGAGACAGTAATAGCTATGGCCAAACAGAAGATGAGGATGCTCGGTGCTGTCGCCCTCTCAAAATAGGGTGTGGAGGAAGGACGACCTACGCAAGGTCTACTTCACCCATAAACAAGGTGTCCTCAACTTTGCGAGCAGCAGCTGGCAATAGTGGCTGAGCAAAACTCTGATAAATATTCTGGAGGTGGTTCAAAACAGATGTCTGAGACTGATCACCACCCAAGCCCAGTTCTCACCGATCGAGGTACTTCGAGCTGAAACGGGGGTCCCAAGCATTGAGTCCACCATCCATGCTAACTACCTCCGATCAAGAGAGAAGGCTCTGCGAAAGAACAACGACCACCCCGACGAATTGCGGCAATGGAACAAGTGCACAGACGCCTAAAGGGACGCAGAGATTTCCGAAAAAGCCGAAGACGCCAGCAAAAAAAGCCCACATCTGTTCAACTGCGAGAGGAGGCCCATTACTTACGGCACTTCGAAACAATACCATGAGAACAGGGAATCAACCCCGACAACGTTTACCCCCACCTGTACGACATAAACGGAAGGAGTGACTCCAGTGTGAAGATCCGAAACGCTGCTGTTATTCGAGCACTAGAGTTTGGGGCACAGTACAATATCAACACTGACGGCTTGGCGAGTGCAGGAACAAGGGATGGCGGCGCTGGAGTCGTCATCACAACTGGGGACCCGTCCAACCATCGGACCCAATCTGTCAACTGTGCAGCGAGGAGCCCCAAGATTTGGAGCACTGGCTGCAGAGATGCCCCGCCACGGAGGTGCTGCGTAGCATCTCTTTGGGGAGGATTCAGGGACTGCCTCACCCGCTACCCAAGAGAGGTGGTGGCCCTGGCGAAGAGCACGCTCTTTGGGGCTCCAAACATTTCGAACGGATAGGCTACCACACACACAACAGCAGCAACAACAGTACTATACTACTACTACTACTACTACTACTACTACTACTACTACTACTACAAAGTCAAATAAGAAACAGAGTAAAATCGAAAAAGCAAGTTTTGACTGTCTTCTCTTCTTTATTTGTTGTTTAATTTTAATTGCAAAGTCGTCAGCCAGTTTGTAATAAAATCCCTTATTATTATACCGTTAAGTAAAAAACAAAAGCATTGTGAAATATTATCCCTGCCTACGCCATAGCTATTGTTTGTGGGCACACTTTTGAAAACATTCAGGACATTGGAGACTTTGAAATACCTGGGAGCATGGGCTGTGTTGAAGGGAGAGCATACATTAGCTGAGCCGAGCACAATAGGACGGTATGATAATTAATAATTAATTAATTTAATTTATTTACGTTCGTTGTGTCCTTCAAGACTTCTCGGGATGAAACGTTCCTGAGCAGGACTAGAGAATACAATAATAAAGACAACAGTGACAACAACAGAACAACAGCAACACAATGTCAACACCAACAACAACAACAACAACAACAACGATAATAACAACAACAGTGGTGACAACAACAACGACAACAACAACAATAACAACAACAACAGTGGTGACAACAACAACAACAACAATAACAACAACAACAGTGGTGACAACAACAACAACAACAATAACAACAACAACAGCAGCAATAGGTTCAACAGTTACAACAGCAACAACAGTAGCAAAAACATCAAAAACGTCAAGGACAACAG